ACATAAATATTCATGGTTGACGATTTTTGGCGAATTTGGTCAAATTCGTCAAAACGAAACCAACTCGGGGGAATTGACGATTTTGACGAATTTTTTAGTCAAATTCGTGTACGCGAGACTTGACGATTTTGGCGAAATCCTATCACATCTGCGATTTTTGTTGCCGGATGCATTTCTGGACACATCTGCGCAATAGCGTCGCATGAAAACACGACTTTAATTTCATGATGGGGAGGGGGGATGGCGCAGTGGTGAGAGCTCTCGCCTCCCACCGTTATATGGTCTGGGTTCAATTAATTCCCGGACTTTGCGTCACATGTGGGTAAATTAAGTGTTGTTGTTGGTTCTCGTCCTTGCTCCGAGGGTTCTTGCCCCGGTCCTCCCATTTTCCTCCCTTCGCGAAAAACCAACATTCCAAATTCCAGTTCGATCTGGAAACAGTGGACAAGAAGAGCCGCCCAGTGAAATGGCTAGATTATTATTATGACAGTAAAAACTTCTGGATACCCAGATATCCTAAACAATGATTGGGCGGCAAGCCGCAACCAATCAATGCAACGACCAAAGTCCTTACAATTAAAATTCCTATAGCAATTCCTAATTATGGAACCGTAGTAATGAAAGTCCTAAACTTAAATGCTATGTAATAAAAACCTCAGTCAAAATAGTAAAGGTTCCTTACGTCACTATCGGAACACTTAAAAGGAATAAAACATCTAATATCCCTTTTTTCAATCTTAAAGCACCTTGCCATCCCACTAGTTCTTTAAGTGCCTTTCTAACATTTCTTGAATAAACTCCGAGCACATCGATCGACAATAATGTTGTATTGTGTCACCCGATAATCAGGGTATCTCTGTTCAAGCTCCCAGCGCAGTGGCCCATACTTTGCTAGTTTTTCGGCAGCTTTCTCCTCCCTGTTTTCTACCCACGGGCAGCTCATCTCAATCACCGATACTTTCTTGTTCTCCTTGTCCACGATGGTGGCGTCGATCCTATTCGCCTTTACCTGCGTGCCATCTGCATTATAATAATAATAATAATAATAATAATAATAATTATTATTATTATTATTATTATTATTGTTATTATTGTTATTATTATAGTTAGTCGAAATTTTCATGTATTTTTCGGTTTTTAAGGATTTTGTCTTAATATTTTTGTAAATATTTTTGATGATTTGAGTGAATTATCGTTATCATAGTGTGTATCCTAGTTTTTCCTACATTTTTATTAGACATTTTAATACATTTTTTCGATTTTCAAGCATTTTATCATAACTTAATTTTGTTATAATTTTCTGTGATTATGGTGAATAAAGGATTATATTTTATTATTATTATTATTATCATTATTATTACTATTATTATCATTATGGTAATTTTTTTCATTATTCTTGACAGTTGAATACCAAATGGTTACGATGCCGGGGTTCTCGTTTGTTCTTCTTTCCCTGATCCAAGTCACAATCATCACTTACCAAACCCAAGCAAACGTGATCAGTAGATGCAAAGATCGTGCG